GAAATGTCATAAAAGAACTTTTCTTTAAGAATTTTGAAATTTCAAATCACTCAAATTTGAAAATTTGAAAATTGAAAGTTTAAGAATTTAGAAGTTCGAAAATTTGAAAATTGAAAGATTTGAAAATTCGAAGGTCTAAAAAATTACAATTCTCGATGTTCGGAATTTTTGAAATTTCAAAATTCAAAGTTTTGAAAATTTGAAAGTTCAGCAATTTGAAAGTTCAGCAATTTGCAAGTTGGAAAGCTTGGAAAATGTAAGAGCTTAGATACTCGAAAATTCAAAAGTTTCAAAACTCGTAAGTTTGAAAAATCAAAAGTTGAAAGTTTAAAAATTGACAAGTATAGAAGTTCGAAAATTTGGAAACTTTGAAATATTAAATTTCGAAAATTTTCATCAAAACACAATTATACATTTACAAGTGAAATATTCCATATACATGTATATCTAACCTTACAGGTGACGGACATAGCAAGAAATTTAAATTTGACAAGCTGCTTAGACACTTTAGTAGAGAATCTAAGTGGTGGAGAACGGAAAAGATTATCGATTGGTGTAGAAATAATCACAAAACCATCTGTCTTATTACTCGACGAACCAACCAGTGGGCTTGATAGCACATCTTCGAATCAGGTCTATAACGCTAATTCTATAATATGTAACTTTGAAAAGTGATCTAGAAAATGATATTATTTCGAATAAAAATATTTCGGATAGGTAATTGGACTGTTGCATAAAATAGCAAAAGGAGGTTGCACAGTCGTTTGTGCGATTCATCAACCCAGTAGTCGTATGATATCGCAATTTGACGATTTACTGGTTATACATAACGGGACATCGTTTTATTGCGGAGCTTGGAACGATGTTCTCTGCACGTTCAGTGAAGCAGAATATGTGTGTCCTCAGTTTTATAACGTATCCGAATTTGGTAATATACGTATATGTTACTATTTGAAGAATGCAAAGGAGAAACAGGGAATGACAATTTTAACGAATTTTTTACTTTCTTCGTACACTCCTGTGAATTTTATTTTTTCTTTTTTAATTTTTTATCACTAGCTATATCGTATTAATTTGAATTAAAATTTTCTGCGTTTTACAGTAGTTATAACAAATTGAGGTATAGCGACAACATATTTTTCATTTTTTACAATTTAATGTACTAATTTACTCTTGCTTATATTACTCACTTACTATATATATACATACGCACACACATATATACTATATATATGTCGGAGAAGGAAAGACAGCGGGATTTCCCGTCCGGAATGTTGGGACAAACCCCAATACACTAGTCCAAACTTTCACCATAGCCGCCCTTAAGTAATAAATTATACATTAATTATACATGTATATTGTGTATATTACATGTGTATATTAAAAAATAAATTTTCGTTTCCTTAGATATGTTAGAATTTGACATTCCCCCTTTTTCCCGTGGAACCTTCATTTGATAATAAATGCTACTATTAATAATATGAATCTGGTAATTACTTAATATATTCATTGTCAATTTTGTTGTAGTTGTAGAAGTTGTAACTGGGGAACGAAGTGGTGATTTAAATAATCTACAGAAACTTAGTCGAGATAAATACTTAAAATGGAAGAAACACTTCCAACATCCTATTAGGGGTAATTATATTATGTTGAAATATTTACATAGAAATTCACTATTTGTAAAGATAACATTAGAATAATTTTTTACCAGAATAGTTTACCAGAATAAATAGAGTAAATAATAGTGTTAAAATAATATTGAATAATCTAGTACAAGTATTTTAGGAACATATGTTGCAGTTGCTGCAAAATTGGATAATAGTACCGACATATCGAAGCTATCCTCTATATGGCAAGAACACAAGATTTTATTATTAAAAGCACTAATTTGTATTAAACGAGACAATGTTAGTAATTACATCAGGAGTTAATAATTTGTAGTAATTCGCTTCATTTAAAAATTTCATTTTTATACAAATTGTTTTTTGTAGACTTTGACAAAACTGAGATTCGCAGCTCACGTTGTAGTAGCTTTTCTACTAGGCATAGTATTTTACGATTCAGGAACTAATGCTAGTAGGATTCACAGCAATATAGCTTGTGTATTTTTTATTCTGCTGTTTTTATATTTCGCGAATTCCATGCCGGCTGTGCAAATGTGTAAGTTAAGTATTTGTTAGCATTATTTTTACAATATTAGAAATCTAAGCATCAAATTAATTATTACAAAGTTTACGTTAAATTTTTGCTTTACTTACAGTTCCTACAGAAGCTGCAGTTTTTATACGAGAGTACTTAAATAATTGGTATCATTTAAGGTCTTATTTTTCTGTAAAAGTATTGTCAGATTTGCCAGTACAAGTAAGTGTAATAGTAGCATTTGTATATTACATATATGTTTGTTACTCTAATATGATAATTAGACTGCGGATGTTTATGCATTTATGGGAAATTTAGAAGCACAAAAATATTTAGAATGCTTGCAATATGAAAGAATATATAAAATATTAAAAGTAAGATACTCATTACAACATTCAGTAGGGTAAATCTTTATTTAGATTCCATTGTTTTATTTAATTATGTTTGTAAAAGTATAAATTTGCATAAACATCCTCAATGTAGTGACAGTATATTGATTAAAAATATTACTTTTAATATAATAGTTATCTTTGTAGATTCTTACACCTTCGGTATTTATTTCAATTGCATACTATATGACTGGTCAACCGATGCAATGCGATAGATTTTTACGTACGTGGTTGATTTGTATTTTAACAACAATTCTTGGACAATCATCAGGAATGCTTGTTGGGGCTGCATTCGATACACATGTAATGTATGATTTGAGATAATTACAACGTCACTTATAACATTTGTATCATTGTAATTTTATGTAATTTCATAATTTAACACATATTAATTTGATATAAAAGCAATCCAATTATGTAAAATTAAAATAATACTAACAAAATTAATTAATATTTTCAGATGGGAATTTTCTTGATTCCTGCACTCAATATGCCAATGATATTATTTGCCGGATTTTTCCTAAAATTTAGGGAAGTGCGATCATTTCTTCAACCTTTGTGTTCCATTAGTTTCTTTAGGTAATTAATACATTTCATAATTGATAAAGATTCATTTTTTTTGTGTAAAATTAATTGTGGAAAGAAAATTATTTTTGATTTTCTGTAGGTATGGATTTGAAGGTATTATGCAAGCAATTTACGATGGAGACAGAGAAAATTTACGGTGTGATGAAATCTATTGTCCATTACGTTCACCTAAAAAGATCTTAGAAGAAATAGATATGCCCGCAATTTCCTACTACATGACTGTATTAGGTTTATTTGTTTGGATAGTGTGTTTACAACTTTTGACATACTTGGTACTTAAATGGAAAGCACATAAAGCCAAAAGATGATGTGCTTAAATGTATCTATACATACTTTTCATGTGATATCGAATTAATTAATATTTATATCGCAAAATATTATTAATACTTATATTGATATTTTTGTAAACTTTATCATTGTGATATTTGTATACAATTAATAATACTATATAACTGGTTATATAATTATATTATAATTATTATGTAACTATTATATTATATAAATGGTAATACTTATTCTTTATTTAAGGCATATTTACATACGTTCCATTACAGCTCGTAAGCCAAGCAATTTATGAAAATTTTCGAATATTACACGTGCTGCGATAACATTTGTCTGATTTTATATAAATATATTATACTTTCAAGATCTAAAATACGGATTTTCTTATCAAGATAAATATTTTTCATTATCTATGTATGTTCATATTGCAAATATCGAACACTTTTATACTCGTTCAAGAAATATTCATTCGTAGAAGTACTATATCTGAGGATTATCGAAAGGTTATCATAAGTTTAATAAACGTACTCTTTTAGAAATATTTTTCAAATGTTTTACTGTTCCTTTAATCGTAATCACAAGTCCAAAGTATTTCCGCAAATACTCACATAACGTAGCTCACTGACGATGGAAACAAGAATGCTTTGAATAGGATTGTTTCAAAGTTGCAATTGATTAACTACGATTTCTTCGTCCCACCAAATATAAATATATTAATAAAATAATTGTATAAAAATACTTTACATGTACAATTGATAATTTCAAGTACAAAAAGGGCAAGAAATTTCTAACATTACATGTTACAGAATAATGAACTTAACAATATCATTTTATACAGAAGTATGAGCAGTATTCAATTGTATAACTAATTGTATAGATGTACAATTAGTTGTATCATGAACAATTTCAAGTAGGAGAAGTTAAAAGGTTTCTCACATTATAAATTATAGAAATATGAACATATAAAATATACTTATAAAATAAAAGTTTGCGTACGTACAATTGGAGAGCCAAATTTCTCATTTTATTTCGTAAACTGATATGTAAAAAAATATACTTGCATTGATAATTGACATTCGTTGAGCAATTTTAAAATATCACGTTCAACTTCCGAAAATATCGTTTCGGAAAAATGTATCAGCTTAAATATATACTTAATTTACAATATAACAGCGCGTTTCTTCTCGTCTATTAATCTTTAGTGATGGAATTATTAAGGTTATTGAAAAAAATTATTCTATCGTAACGTAATTCGACCACGAAAGATTAATTTACAATTTAGACATTCAAATGTCTAAAATTCTTATCATTATTGAATATGAGAAATAAAAATAACGAATAAGTTAAAATTGATTCCAGAATAATCCTAAATTGTATTATGTTATTACGAACGAGTAGATATCGCCGACATCATTCTCGTTTAAAAAAAGAAAATCTGGTATTTACAAATTAGAGATATCACCAGATCATTAATTAAACGAGATTAATTAAACCGTTAATTAAACCAGTTTAATAAAAATAATGTCTTTGGCTTAGTCAGAATTATACACATTTTTCAAGAATCCATAACTACCATATAAATGTATTTGTTTTTTAGAAACCGTATCAAAATTACTTTTTGAACCAATTTTATATCTCTATAAAAATTACCCTGTATTGAGCAAAAAGTATTTGCAAAACTAGAGAAACAGTATAAATACATTCTTCGATTACCTTGCATATAACGTTCTATGCAGCTAAATAGCGATCGTTTATCGCTTACGATACGAAACAAAATCGAAACAACAAGTTCGAAGATCACTTTGAACTTAATCGATTTATCGTACAGACATGATCTTCCACTTAAGAAGAAAATACGCGGCACATCGCGTTAGTATAAGTATTATTATAAGCGCCACAATATCATTCCAAAACTGATTGCCTTCCATCGCAATATCAGAAAGGAATTTTGCTGGATATCTGTAATGACAGTACAAATTTTCGTTACTTTCGCAGAATAACACTGGTCTATCGAATCCATAAATTGCACCGATATATCTGTAAATTCACAAAGAAAATTAATTTAAACATTATGGAATAAATTAATATTTTTATAGAAAGCTAATTTTTTCCAATTATCTCATAAAAAAAAACTTCTACGTTAAAAGATTTTAATAAAATATTAATATACAATAATGCAAAAGTAATGTTTTAGATAATTGGAACAAGGCTGCATTACTTTTGTTATCTTTAAAATTTGTGACATATTTAAAAATATAAGAAAAGGAATATTACCCTTCCAAACCATATCGCAAGAAACTTATATATGTACCCCACTTAAGGTAATTTGGTATATCACGTAATGTAACACCAAAGCCAGCGAACATCATCAATGGCACGGTCAAAGTTGGTCCCACGAATGTTCCATTCTAAGATTTTAAGGAAATATGTTAAATATCTTCTAATTATGAAATGTCATTGGTACCATGAATGGCAAATTCATATTGTGAATTATACGACTATGAATATAACTATGAATATAATAGATAGAAAAAAAAAATAAATATTGTTTTACAGCACTTTATGTTTTGTGTATATTACATATTTTTGTATATTATTTTCTATAAATACATAAAAATCGGCAATTTAATTATAATTATTACGATATACTTACAATTACATTGCACACTGCCCCAATCATGAGACCAGCTCCCTGTGATATTAGAACCACTAACAAGCTAATCGCGAAAAACATGAAAAATCGTGACATTTCTAATGGTTGACACGTGAACAAATACGTTATCAACGTAAAAAGTAGACAACATATTATCGAAATCGGTAATTCGATGACAGTAATGGCCGTATAAAATGCTTTTAAACTGTACCATCTATTGAAATGTTCTTTTAATAGAATGCTCATTTGCATAGGAACTGAAAAAATATTAAAACCCTATTAAAAATCATATTTAAAAATTATCAAAAATTATAACAATTAATCGCTAAATTATGGACAGTTTTACGTACAAGTAACTACGGTAAGCATCATTGTGGTCATCAAATGATGTATAAGAATGGAAAACAAAAGATTATAATTATCTAACACTCTGGCACCGTCGGTTCCAGCTCCAACGAAGACCATACCAAGCATTAAACCAACGGCTATATTGACTATGATTCGTAAATATGTTAATGTCTGTAATAGAAAGATATCAATTTATTCGAAGAATAGTATTTATCCATCTATGATATTTCATTCAGTATAAGCTTATGAAAAATCATTCATCATAAAGAGAGAGATTATATGACTACATAATGAAATATTAATTACTACTACTTGTAGATTACTAAGGATAATCAGAAATAAACATCACATCCTAACAAATTATATTAATTAATGCATAATTAATAATTGTTTAAATTGATAATTTTGTAGATTTTGCACTTTTATAATACTTACAGTATCTCTTTTAGACTTTATAAAACCTCTTTCAATCAGAATTTTAATCTGATGTATTAAAGAAGTCGCATGAAGACTACTTTTTCCATTTAAATTCACATGCTTCTTAATCGGATGCAACGCTGCAAAATGAAGAAATGAATGTCATTAAAAAAATCATTCTCGGTTTTGATTTAATTTATATATAATCTTATTAAAATAATGCAAATTTAACTCGTAATAGATATACCTCTCAAATTATTTGCAGTTGCAAGACTATCAGCATTTTGGAACCATTGCGTACTCTTGCCGTTCTTTGAGCCCGATATTAACATCGCTATTTTGTCATCTCCATATTCACCGCAAGCCAACTCAATTACTAAAACAAAAAGCAATAAATGAAGTATATTGGTCAAAATATCTAATTTTCGAAAAATGAAACATTTTCATTTAGCGCGAAAACAATTTTCAAAAAACACCCAAAACGCAATATTTTATATCAGAAAATTAAACACTATATCTGATTAAATAAATAAAAAAATTATTTGCATAAAAAAATACAAATGTGTGTGTGACAGAAACTTATAGTCTAGGCAATTGCGACAGTACGAATATACATGATATTAGGTTGTCCGAAAAGTGTCTTTCTTTTACAGATACAACGTCTTTTACAACGACGCATCTTTATACAAACATGAAACCTAATCTGTCGAACATTGTGATCTTTATTTTGATAGAACAAAATGGATCACACGTAATTCGATAAAATAATATAAAACGGAAAATATTGTGCGTCCATTATTTCCTTATAAAACGAAAGAAACTTTTTGGACGATCTAATATAAATTCTAATAAAACGTAACAAGAATTGTTGGTCTATGTGAGACCATACTGGGAACCAGTATACCGCTTTGTAACTGCCTATCTATATTAGTCTTCCATAAATATCTTAAACGAACGTTTCGACAATCTGAACATTTGTTATTTTTGGTCCGACTGATTTACAATCTCGCTATATCTCTCTATCCAACTATACGTCGTTCATACCGTAATCAGCTGGATTGTAGTATACAGGACATGGCAGTTTAACGTTTTCCAAATAGGAAACCAACTGGGTGGTTGCACCATGAAATAAACATTCTCCATTCGCCAGTACATAAACCTGCGATCATAAATACGAAAATAAAAATGAAGTCGACAGCCAGGCATACAAAACATAAAAGTCTACATCTTGAATGAAACATAAGAGATACGATCAAAATGCAGACATTCAAACTATGATTCAACACAGGCAACGAATAAATTGTACAAAAAAAAACCTACGGCAAAAAGTACCTCGTACCAGATCAAACAACTGAAAGAGCGAGGCGCTAGGTTGATGTATCGTGCAGACGATCGTCCTTCCTTGCCGTGCGAGCAATTTCAACAAATTTACCACATGCATACACGATGAACTGTCCAGACCCCTGAAACGTTCACCATACTATATGACTACTGTTATCTCTATATATTATTATCATTAGATTGCATATGTTTATGCAATTATATAAGTGAAACTTAAATAGAGATTTGATTTAACTCATTAAGGACCAAATAACAATTTATCATAATGCTGTAAATATTTGAATTGCTTGTAGAAGCGTTATAGTATATTGTCATAAACAGAATTTAATAAAGTAAGGTTTTGATTTTGAAATTTTACAAATGACATGTTGCTGTAAGCGTTTGTTTTGAATATTTTATATATTTTTGCATATTACATGCATTCAGTACATTCGCATATTCAAATTTCCTATAAATACATATACTTACGTAGTCGGTTCATCGAGAAACATAACAGTCGGATTATTAACCAACTCCAAAGCGATGGATAGCCTCTTTCTTTGCCCGCCACTTAATTTTTCCGTTAGAGTATTCATATGCTCGTGTAGACCCAAGGTATTCAGGATGTCTTTAATCTAAAATATAATATATTACTTAAATACATAACTGTTATTGCATGACTTTATGAAGATGTATTCATAACATTATAGTAAAAATTCATTAACTCGTATTATATGCTTATAAGAAAACTTCTTAGATACTATAGATATAAAAACAGTTAAAGTTTAAAAAGCCAGGACTCGATATAAAAATCACCAATTTTTTCCAAATAAGTATACTACTATAATTTGAATGAATAATCGATCAAATGTATACTAGAAGCTTCTTGTTATATTTCCATAACGAAATTTGCCAATGATACAAATATTTAAGAAATTTTAGCAATTGACCTCGAGTATAAGCATCTACATACGTACTATCGTTTCCTTCTCGTATCTAGGGGTACTAGTGGGCAGCTTGAGGTCAGCTGCGACAGTCATGTTCTCAGCGACTGTCAACAGAGCTTCTAAACGGTCATCTTGCGTGATGTATGTGCTACATCTATGGCGATCGCATGAAACATAACAAAACAGCAGTCAAAGATAAGAATACATAATACGAGCATAGAATTTAATTACAAGCCACATCGTTTGAATTCATTACCTACTGTCTATTCCCGACTTCCATGTGTGACAAATATCTGATTAGTGACAAATGTACAAAATAGTTCTGAATGATTATGAATCTTCTATTTGTAAATATAACGGAAATATAATAGAATATAATAAAAATAAGGAAAAGTAATGACAATTTATTTTATAAAATATTAGGGAATAGTAAACAAATTTTAAATAGTTAAAAAGTAATTTAAAGAAATAGGCTTCTAGATGTATAAAAGGATTTAAAAGTAAGAAGAAAGTGAGAATAATTTCAAAAGAATTATTATAACGAAAAACGTAATCTCAATTTATATACGTATACATTTTATGCATTGTTATAGTTACTATATACCAGACGATTTTTAAACGAATTCATTAATTACCATAATGGTATTTAAGATAATCTAGTCTTCGGTCACGTAGAGCGTTGTATTAGCATATTCATGATTTCGGACGACACAATGCTTACTTTCGAAAAGAATTCAAGTGTCGGACATGACCGTTGATGTAAATGTTTCCATCCATGCCAGTCGTCCTGAATCCCGACAGGATATCCAGCAAGGTCGACTTCCCTGCTCCGGATGGGCCCATTAAGGCGATTAAATGTTTCGCTGGAAGTCTTCCATTGATTCCGTGTAATATCTCCTTTTGGCCTGCAATATGTGTGTGATTAAAGTGATCACATATGTATGGATATAGATATATTGTGAATATAGGATACGATCGTTTGTTATTAATATTAAGAGATGCTGTTGTTTATAAGAGTCAAGAAATATATTTTCTTGAACTATGTTTTTATTAAATTTTTTAATATTTATAATATTACAATACTAATTCTATAAAATATGATTATTAACGATCGACATTAAGCGATTATTTGCGAAGGTTATTTTTCCAATTTCGAAAAATCGATTTAATTTATATTTTCAGAAGATTTTTATTGTATTCTTTTAAGGATTTTTACAGACTTTGTAAATTTTTAAGAATCTCAATTATGCGGACTTTAAGGACTTTCCGATTAATTAATGCAATACTACTATATTGGTTATTAACTATAAACAACGAGTTACATATTTACATACTGTACAAATAAAAAGATCTGTCAGCGCACTGATTTCCATGTGTATCTCTATAAAGATGAATGTGACAAAGTTCACATACGCGTAGTTTTTCTCTAGTTGTTAAATATGCATGTCACTTGGCATGTGCGACTCTATATCATTAAACGTTGAATGTCTTGTCGATTATTCAATACAAACAAGTAATAAGGTCATAACATTATCATCAAAATAGAGATTGGGAAAGACCTAAGAGGAGGTAAGATGATCGACTATTGACAGAAATGTGAGATATCAATTTACTCTCAGAATTAGAAGATGATTATCTTACTAGATGGTGGCCAGTGGCTCGATCATTGCGTGTTTATATGTAAGAACTAGAAATAGGAGTGTGAAGATAATACCGGGTATTCACCAGAAAACTAAGTTATGTTTCCACTGAAGCAAAGAGGAACCTTTTGCCATTTTACGCTGCTGCATGTTCCAAAATATTTACAAGCAATGCTTATAGATATATTTTATCCATGTTAAAACAACATAATCTGAGGAGGCTTCGGGTCTTACTTCGATTTAAAGGTTATTTGTTGTTAACAACACGTATATATTGAATACACTTATACGTTTATTTTGTTGCTACGAAACAGGCAACAAGCGGCGACTTTTTTAAGAAACATGCAACAACAATAAAAACTTTCTTGGCGTTACTTCAGTGGAAACAGGGCTTAAGTTATGCTATGTTATGGAAACCTTCAATAATTACCAGAATTTCGGGACCCAGGTTCTGCAATTATGGAGAAGCAGAAATGATTCTATTCCAGAAAACTGAGATCTTAGACGTGCGGAACGTAGAAAAGGACAACACGAGTGAAAGAGAAAAAGGGACTGAGAGTTTGAAGTGTTTGGTAACGTATAAAAACTTTCTTATCGTTGATTGTCGATCAAGGAAGCTTCTACTAATATGTTTGTTACATTTTTCTGATTAAAATGACATCAAACACGATACAATTTGGAGCATATTTACTTATTTAATAAATGATAACCATATTAATACGTAAATATAATTCATGTGTTTGGTCTTGTTTTAATCAGAAAGACGTCATAAATATGTTAGTAAAAGTTTGATTTTAAAAAAGTCAAAAATAAAACAGTTTCACTGCTGAATTAGTACCTACATACATCGCCTGAGCGATATATGATATTGGATCATATTACACTACTCGACAGGGCCGGCGCAAAGCAGGTTCAGCGCGTTCGTCGGAACACGGCCCCACGTTTTAAGAGGTCCCGCGGTCTACGAAAATTACCCAATTAAAAAACACCGATTTTGATTAACTTTTTACAGAATAATGATACCATTAAGATGCAAGGCATTTTTTTAGTAGCAATGAATCAGTTTAATGGAGTGACGAAAATTATCAAAGTTCAGTGTAACTCCATAAAGTCCTCATATCCTGGGAACTACTTTAGATAAAAAATCTAGGCGCTTTCAGAGAAATGTACTTTTTAGAGAAATTAAACTACATCAATAGTTTTTTGCAAAAGTCATACATGATTACAAATTTTGTACTTTCATTGAATCTTTTGTCCCTTAAAAGCGAATTATGGATTGAAAAAAAAATTACTTGGATTTGTTTAAAAAACTGCTTAAAGAAATAGAGATAACGCTCCCCAATTTTTAGAAGTCTGTCGACGAGTCGCAGCTCCTACGAACTTGCATAGAAATTGGGCATAGTAACGCCTGACATTTATTAGTGGTTGTGTGTCAGTCGCCGTGTTGCGGTTCATATGTTTTACACAAAAACGCATCAGGCCATTGCATTGCTTCGATACTGAGCATTAGTCAATCTCACGACACGTAGCAAGGATTGTGATCGTTGCGTTTTGGTAAATTTAAGACGACGAATATTTTCAAAGTTACATTGTGGTATGATACATTTTCAAAACGTTTGATTTCTGGTAAGTACTTTTTTTCAATTATTTCCCCTCTTTTAAGTTAAAATCAACCCTAACTGAAATCGCGTCGCAAAAAAGCTTATGGCAGTCATACAAATGAAATCCAATACATATAACTAGTTGAGAATTTGTATTCGTTATTATTAAATATATAGTTCATTCTATCTTGCAGTAAATGTTTTTTGGCGCACGATTTTATTCACTTTTGTAACAGACAAAATTTTATACACGGAAATATGTTCTTTTAAGAACCGCTATGGCTAGCAGGGCTAGAGATCGTGGACGGAAATACTTAAGTGGGGCTGAAAAACTGAAACGGAAGAAGCAGCGAGACGAGTATATCAAACAGCAAACAAACAACATCTTGAGGTATGTAATTGAAGCCACTAGTCATTCAAGCAGCCAAACGAAGGTAAAAAACATACGGCAATGAATTAAATCCCTTTGGAAGAGGAAGATCAAGAGTTGAATACACCTGTGAAGGAAAATAAAGAATACATCAACGAAACTAAATTGGACGAAAATGAAAACAATAGAAAAACGAGCGATTGTGAAACTCATCAAGAAAGAGATATTGAAAATATGGAAATTGAAGCACAAAAAGAAGAAAACAGAAATTTCGGTGCAATAAGAAGAGCAAAATATTATTCCATTTATATAGCCATGGAGAGCAATATTATCGGCTGTTCTTCGTTATGTCAATATAACAGACGAGGAGGTTGAAATCAAGCAACATTTTATCAAATTTGAAATAGTTCACGATACAAGAGGAAAAGGACTATCTGAAACTATCATGAACATTCTGGATCAGTTGGGAATAAAAATATCCAACTGTCGCAGACAAGGATATGATAACGGTGCCGATATGAGGGGAATATATCAAGGAGTACAAGCAAATATATTACGTGTAAATCCTAAAGCGTTTTACGTACCATGCGGTAGTCACAACTTGAATTTGTTATTGGGAGATATAGCAAAATCATCAACCCAAGCACTACATTTTTTTGGTGTTTTACAAAAGATTTACACGATATTTGCAGCATCGACATCGCGTTGGGATGTTGTAAAAAGACACGTTGCAAAAGTTACGCCTAAACCATTATCAGAAACTAGGTGGGAATGTCGTTTTGATAGTGTAAAGGCTATTCGATTTCACGTTCGCCTGAACAATAAATTGACAATTGAGATTTTGTATATGGTGCGCAAGATAAATGAATTTGAATTTATTGCCAGTCTTATCACTTGATACGAAATATTATTAAACGTATTCTTTTTAACGTCTTAACGTATTCTTTGCGGAATACAGAAATGAAAGATTTAGCAAAGCAAATAATCGCAGCAAATATGAAGTTGCAAAGGAAATGGACATAATACCAGATTTCAAATCATCATACAGGGGTAAAAAACAAAAATTATTCGATTATGAATCAACGACAAAGAATACTTCCGTGTACATTACTTTTTAAAAATAATAAATACGCGCTAGTATCCTTTAAAAGTAGATTCGAATTATATACAGATCACCAAAATATTTCTGGTTTTCTATACCTGAATGAGATTGGAAATTTAGATAATAAATATTTATTAAAGTGTTGTCAAGATCTTTATTTATATTTGGAAGGAGATTTCGACGGAACTGAAATATTGGAAGAAATTAAAATGATCCGGTCAATAACACAAACCAATTATTCGGCTTTAAATTCGATGAATTATATCGTAAAGAACCATCTCTCGGAAGCATACCCAAATTTATTAATCGCATTACAAATTATGTTAACGACGCCGTGGTAACCGTGGTTTCAGCAGAACGTAGTTTCTCGCAATTGAAACTAATAAAACATTATCTGCGATCATCGATAAACCAAGAGAGATTTTCATCTCTGGCTATTCTATTAATAGAAAATGAAGTAGCAAATTCAATCGATGATGTTATCAAAGATTTGGCGTCGAAAAAAGCGAGAAAAATTATTTAATATTATTATTGAATTGTATTATTATTTAATATTCATCTTATAAAAAATATATAATATGTAACAGCATTTGTAAACAAAATTGTAAAATTTAAGTGTAGGATTTGAATGTGTATTCAGGCCCCGCAAAATTTTTGAACCGGCCCGGCAAAAGGTCACGCCGGCCCTGCTACTCGATCGCGGCGAGCCATCGAAGCTTCACGGTGCGTCAAGAGGAACCTCCCCCCGTGGTGGAGATGACGACCATGCAATTAGAGAACAAGAAGTTTATGTCTGCGGTTATCGAAGGTTTCTTCTACTACGATTAACAATATTTTTCGAAAGATATACATATGTGAAATCGTTTCCACCACAGCTAAACTAAACTGTACTATTAGCTGTGCTATTAGTTTAGCTTTTGGTGGATACATATATACATATATTGAAACAAATATTTTTAAACATAACACATCATAGCATAATTAAACTTAGCTTTCCAATGAATCTCCGGCTTTAAAGGAACTAAAACAATCTGTGTATCCTCTTAATACTTCAATTTATGATTTCACTATATTCCACCAATCAAGAATACATGACGTCAAGGAAGTGACACAGATAAATCAAAAATGGAACAAGAAAATATCGAAACACTGAGGCTATTCTAACCTTTCTTACAACCCAGTGACACGGTATACTTGATGTTCTCGAACATAATATCGACGGTATCCACTGCGTTGCTTTCCATGAAACATCTTCCATCCTCAACATGTGCATTTTCTACCTTTTTCTCTGTCTGCTTAGGCATAGTGTAAACCTTCGTGTCGACTGCATTCGTCTCCTGGCCATTGCTCATCTCGTGCATCAGTACTTCCATCGTCGAGTATTTTGAGCGAGCTAATTGCTCGCCGATTAGTTGAACATAGACAAGCAAACACCATAAAACTGCAGTCAGAAAAATGAGATATGATCAATACAAAAAGGAACATAAACAAACAGAAAGATATTTATCATCAATTATTTCTATATCTAGCGTTCCAATTAAAAAATTTGAAATTTGCCGCCATCTTAATATTATGATAACCGATGTCAACATTTGTACTTAATATACATTTCTGCGCAAAATTGTTAGAATATATTGTATTTTTAATACAGTTTCGATATTTAATTTAATGTATATCATGAACTTAAAATATTATAGTATATTATAATTTATATTTTATAGCATAAATTTTATAAATTTTAATATACTGCTACCTTATTTCTCCTGTCAAATAAAATATCTAATTAAATAGTAATCCTTTGCATGCTTTAATAATTACATAGTTAACCTTTATATACCGACTTTGAAAAATAAGCAAGTATCAATGTTCGACGTATATTTTTCTTTTTTCTTTTATGTATGTTTACCAATTACTTCAGAACGATGGCTGGACCAATCGGGATAATTCTTTGTGCATCTTATAGGATATGTTACAGGGTATGCAGTATGGGATTCAGCTATCGGAATCAAACATTTTGCATGTTCTAGAGATTGCCCAAAGAATTTGTTGTTCCAATGTACCATTGTTCCAATATTCTAGTCTACCAATTTCATTTTGAAATTGCGTTGATAAATTTTATTGATATATTCCGTTGCAATATATTTAGTATGCTGTTTAATAAGTAAATGGATAACGTAATCGTTGTTGCATATATATCTAAATCAAATATAAATAAAATAGAAATTACTTTATACCTTTAGCGGTTTTTAAAATCGGTAATATCTTTTAACAACAAATTTTTTATTTCAGTTTACAGTTAAACAAATGTTATAATTGTATTAAGACTTTTGAGCAGGACTCTATACATACATACATATATGCATATATACATGTATATATTCGTTTATCTACTTACGTATTTCTGTAATTATTTATAACTTCTATTTTTTTATTTTTACAACATATATTCAGAATTCAGAAATTTTTCGACAAATGTAACAAAAACTAAGTAGTTTGCTAATTGACATGAAAGTTATGCTCGAAACTAATTGATCGCCATAGTTTTAATTAGGAACGAAAACATGTCTATATATCTAACTAAGATGTATACAATATTCTAATAATATCCTTCAAATTACGTGATATGACTCAATCCATGGAGTCTTTTATTCATTCCAGGAAATGTCTATTACACACATCTTGCTGCTCTGAATTTAAAAATGTAATATTTTAACATAAGAATTCCCTCCTACTTGGAATTAATTAACTGTATCCCCAATGCCTTCTACTTCCTCATCCCCTCTCTGATCCTTGTACACACCCATATTCTTTTCTTTCTCTCTGTTCTTTATTTCTCATTTTTTTAATCTTTTTTCTATGTAAACTGCAGAAGCGATATTTTTTTGCATAAGACAAATTTAAATTGTAAAAGATTGTAATAAAATATCATTGTACAAGACACAAAGTGAGGGTATAAAAAATGATGATTGAAACCCAAACGAATGATTATCATGAAAACAGGTTATCTTGTACAATAATCTTATATGACTTATATGACTTGTGAAATAATCATACAAGTGCCATCCAAATATATTATCTCTGCTATTTCTTAAACAATGTGTAAATCAACACGCAACAGGCACAGATATCATGAGATTTTGGGTCGCAGTTAAGATAGTTTGGATTAAATATCTGAATTCCAAGATTATAATTCATATTATGGATCTGCTCTCTGTAGCTCTCGATCTATGGAAAAAAAGCTGAATAATATCCTAAGAATATCAAAAACTCTTATAATGATTAAAGCACCAAACAACTATCTTACAATTAATCGAATCGTCACTTTATCTAAAATGATAAGCGTCATAGGAAAATATCGATTCCGAAACGAACTATAGTACAATTCAAAATTATATTAACTGCTTGATTAACACTATGTTTACGGGCGTTCCTTATATACCTATCTCTACGAGCACCCGTCAAATTGACGGATAAACGAAAATACGCATTTTTTTTAAAAAATCAATTTATTCAAATTATTATTTTATTCATTTATTATATTATTTTCATTATTTTTTTTATATTATTATTCAAATTATTAATTGAACAATATTAGGCTCCACGTTTAAATAAATTGTTAATAAGTAAAAAGTCTTTTTTGAAAAATTATCACGGGAATGATAACAATAATATTAACGATATAAGGTAATCATATTTATTGAGCACGTTTTTTACAAACATACTGAATTTTGTTTGTGCATTTTCCGCATACGATCTTTTTTGCAATATACAGGGTGATTGGTAACTAGTGGTACGCGAAAAAACAAGTCGAAAATATAGAATAAAATTTTTTTAATTTTTTTTTTTAACTTTTTTAAAAATCTACAGTGAGATCCGTTATAACGAGACGTGATAAAGTGCACGCGTACCGTTCGAAAATTCAAAGTCGATTTTCTCGAAAACAAAGCCTCGAACGAAAAATTTTTATTCTACATTTTCGACTTCTTTTTTCGCGTAGAATCACCCCCTTTCCGTTTGTACCACTAGTTTCCAACCACCCTGTATACAACAATTATTGCTTCTATTTTTTTTGCAATAGGCTACTTGGCAACTTTTTCGCACTTCTGACGTTAAAGGTGACAGAAATGAAGCGTCTAATCTTTGGCAAAATATGAACTCCTTTCTGGATATTTTCGATCCGGTGCATTCTTCACATAATATCCACGCGTTTGTCGCTGCCAAATCTAAAATATTGAAAGGAGGAACCATCGGAAACTCCCTGCTTTCACACCATATTTGCGTGCCATCTGGTCAATGACGTCCTCACCAAACATTGTTTTATTATAAAAAGCAATGGTTTCTGGAACACGTTTATAATTGTCTTCTACTTGTATACCTGTATGTTTGGTGCTTAGAAGGACTTTTACGTTAGGTTCACTTTTATACACAGTAAGCGTGCAGTTTTCTGATTTATATAAATTCGTGGAAAACAATCTCATCTTGTCCTTTTTCCCCTTGAGCATCGAGTTTCATATTTCCCCATATAAGGGAAACCATTCGAAATATATTTTGTTTGGACGTCAACTGCTAACCAAAACTTAATGCCAAATTTATGAGGCTTATTCGGTATATATTGCATCGGGCTTTCGTTGGAAATAATTGTTCATCTATTGAGATATTTTCATATGGCTTGTAACAAGCCTGGCTATTACTTATAAATCTGTTCCGTATTTCGGATATCAGCGCAAATTTATCTGTTTGTAATCTTTAGGAGGCTCTCAATGATCTCGCTTTATATGCGCCTCGGGCATATGGAATTCCTAGAAAGTTACGCAACTCAGCAACTGTGACTGTCCAGTCTTTTTTCAAAACTCGATGCGCCTCGGTTACAGTGCAATCTTTTATGTGCTCCATTATGTGTCTGTCAATTATCAATTCGAAAGCACTAGTTACACAACCCGACATAATATTTCTCTTAGCATAGCCAGTAGGCCCTGCGATATCCTTGAATATCATACGAAAGGGCGTCCTATCCCTAGATCCGCCTGCTTTCAGTTTTATGCACTGTGTCCCGTCAATTGCAATTTCAGTTTCACCTATTACATTTTGGGATGTGCTTGGAATGCTCGTCCTTTCGTCCTCGGAGTCAGAACTAGAAAGAATGCGCATCCTTTTCTTGTTACGACACACTTTCAAGAAATGTTCCTCTTCACTATCCGTGAAGATCCTTCTATCTCTCCACTTTCAATGTATTTAGAACTTTCACTGTCAGCTTCGCTTTGGCCTAATTCATGCTGATCTTCTTTGGAGGTATCCTCAGAACAATCTTCATTGATGTTGACAATTTTGTTCATTATCTTACTATATCTCTTGGATCTACTCGCGATTGCTAGAAAAGGGGGATTGGTGAAAATAAGAAAATACAGAAATGTCTACAATAACTGAAACTTTTGCACGCTGTCTTTGAAAAACAGATTGTTTATGAAATCAGCTAACCCGTCAATTTCACGAGTTTCGTAGAGATAGGTATACTACATACAGATTTCAAAAATAAGAAAGCCTAGGAAAAAATAATTATGCGCATAAATTCTTTAGATGAAATGATTAATTTACGATGCAAAATGGATCAAATTAATTACTTCATTTCGAAGTTTGAAATCCGTCAAATTGACGGGTCCCGTATACCTAGTGTTAAATGAATTCAATGATTTATTATAGATATAAGGTACTTAATTTGCATTTAACATGGGTCACCCGATTCTAAAAACTTCCCAAAAAGAGAAACATGCTTTCTTTAATGAAAGTAACATTAAAATATAACTAAATTAATGGATATTTATATGTATATGTATGTCATTATAATAGTTGCACAAAAAAGTTTGTATTTTAATATCATGCAGAAATAATACTTCTTAACTTGCCTTCACTAAAAAATTTTACTACTTAACTCGCCTCTCGAAACCTGTTATATGGTTTCAAACATGATAATCAACTGCATTTGATAACAAATTTCTAATTGAATCTCAAGTGTAAACATACTTGTTTTTAGCTTCGGAAGAGATATATTATACTGCAGCCGATTAATTTCATAATATTCAACAGAAATAGAGAATGAAATAATAAAACAAACGTATTGTAATAATTTAAAAAATTAACATTTTTTAATATATAAAATATGCAACAGTTTCTTATTATTTTGGATATACAGCTCTGCTTTTGAAAACGTGACTTTAAATTGAAGAATGTAACTTGCAGTTTATATAAACATATAAGTTATATATACATATGTTATACGCACATACATAGATTATTTAAACGTCAGATAGCAAATCTTCAAATAAAAAAGACATTTATATGCTGTTACGTACAGTTTGGTCTAAAACACAAGGACCAGTAATAGACGACTACTTGCGGAAGCCACAGGAAGTTACCACGGATATCTACTTGAATTTATTATTCTCA